GTGATTATTCGCCAGTGGAAAATTAGGTCTTTACTTTCATAATTTCAAATCTGAGTTTCGATACTCTCTATCCTCTCGATTTTGTAGACGATTAGTAAATCTTCTCATCTTCCTGATTGCATGTTTGATTTGGACTGATTTCTAGGGTTCATTTTAAGTATTGGAACCAATATTAGTCTGGGTTACATCTACTATATATTCACAACTCCACTGCTTCTTTGTTGTATTTTTGTTGTTGAATTTGCTGATTACAATGAGTAATAACACGAATTTGACTGAGGACCTTCATGGTACCACGACTGATTCTGAAGGTTTTAGTGAATTCACTCTTGATCCTTGTCACCCTTTCTATGTTCACCCATCGGATAGTCCTGGTAGTCAATTAGTCATCATTCCTTTTAATGGAACTGGCTTCGTTATTTTGCATAGCAGTATGTTGACATCTCTCTCAGCTAAAAACAATTAGGGTTGGTAACTGGTAGGATACCTCAACCTCAACCTCATTCTCCTTATTATCCTTTTTTGGAGCGTTGCAATAACATGGTCAAGGCTTGGATTACTAACTCCTTGACTAGAGAAATTGATGTGAGTGTAATGTGTTTCAACACTGCTAGTGAAGTCTGGAGAGACATAAATGATAGGTATAGTCAGTCAAATGGTTCCAAGTATATCCAAATTCATAGAAAAATTAGTAGTACCTCTAAAGGGACATCTGATATAGCTAGTTGCTTTACCAGAATGAGGAGTCTCTGGGATGAGCTCAATTCTGCCTATGTTGGACCAATATGTTCATGTGGTGCACTTCCTAAATTCATTAAGGACTAATACATGTTTCAGTTTATCAGTGGGTTAAATGAGTCCTACTCCACAGTCAAAAGTAGCATTTTAATGATGTCTCTTTATCCAAGCATCGGCAAAGCCTATTCACTTTTACAACAAGATGAAAGTCAAAAGGAAACTAAGTCCATAGCTCCTGGGTTTTCAGCTGATTCAGCAGCCTTATTCTCTGCTTCATCTGGCATATCTTCTTCCACCAATAGGCCATATAATCAGAGGGTAAATTTTGAGTCTAAGAAGTCTATTTCTCCTGTAACTTGCAAATATTGCAAGAACCCTGGGCACAGTGTAGAAAAATGCTATAGACTCCATGGGTTTCCAGCTGATTTCAAGTTCACTAAGTCCAAGAGATCTGCTGCATGTGTTCAAGTGGGGGATTCTTCTCCAAGAAACTTGATTGCTACTCGCATTAGCAACAATTCTTCAGACTCTGCTTATGGATTCAGCAAGGAGCAATATGAACATCTCATGACTCTCTTCCAACAAGCAAATATTTCTTCCGGTTATCCTCAGTCCACTTCTTCTGGAGAAAATATTGGTTTTGCCAACTTTGCAGGTGTGTGCAATCTCCCTGTAAATCAGTTTCCTGCAGTAAATTCTGTTATGCATTCTTTGTCTGCTCAGTTAGGAAGAATTCCTTGGATTTTAGATTCAGGTGCCACAAATCATATGACCCCTCACAAATAGTTTTTACACAATATTAAACATCTACCTTCTCCTTACTTAATCACCTTACCAAATGGGTATAAAGTGAAAGTTATTTCTACTGGATCCCTACATCTTAGGCAGGATATAACTTTGCACAATGTTCTTTTGGTTCCTTCTTTTCAATTAAATTTAATTTCAGTCCATCAACTCCTTTGTCAATTGAAAGGTCTAGCAATCTTCAGCAGTTTCTCCTATTTTCTACAGGGCCCTTCTCTGAAGAGGCCATTGAAAATTGGTAAAGCTGCTCATGGGCTCTATTTTCTGCTACCTGATATGGTTATCCCTTCATTTTCTTCTAATGCTTCTTGTTCTACTGTTTGTAATTCATCTACAACAAAGGTTATCCATTGTTTTCCTAGTTCTACTTGTAACTCATCTAGTATTATCAATAAAATGGATCTAATTTGGCATCAAAAGTTAGGCCATATGCCATTTCATAAGCTGAAATCTATTCCATGTTTATCTACTCAAGTATCGTCTAAACAATTATTTGTATGTTCTATTTGTCCTATGGCTAGGCAATAAAGACTACCTTTCTATGATAGTCACATTCATTCAACTGTACCTTTCCAGTTAGTCCATATAGATATATGGGGACCTTACCACACTAATACATACAATGGTTTCAGATACTTTATTACATTGGTTGATGATTTTACTAGAGTCACCTGGACACACTTATTATCTTCCAAAGGCAATGCCCTTTCTGTTATCAAAGCTTTCACTATGATGGTCAAAGTCCATTTCAAGTCTTTTATTCAATCTTTTAGATCAGACAATGCTTTTGAATTAGGTAGTAGTTCAGAGGCTATATCCTTCTTTGTTGATAAATGGCATTTTACACCAAACCACTATACCTCATACCCCACAACAAAATGATGTGGTTGAAAGAAAACACAAACGTCTTTTGGAAACTTTCAGAGCCCTTTTGTTTCAATCTAAACTCCCTACCAAATATTGGGGTGATTGTGTGTTAACTGCAATCTACATTGTCAATAGACTACCTTCATCTGTTTTGACTAATGCTACTCCTTTTGAAAAACTACATGGAACTCCTCCTACATATGATCACCTAAGATCATTTGGTTGTCTTTGTTTTGCAACTACCCCTAAATCTGGAAGAGACAAATTCCAGTCTAGGGTTGTTGCCTGTGTTTTCCTGGGTTATCCCTTTGGATAAAGGGGATATAAATTGCTTAATCTCTTTACTCATTCTGTATTTTTTTCCAGAGATGTAGTTTTCCATGAACACATCTTTCCCTATTCCTCTGCCCCATCTTCTTCTATTTTCCCTTCTTATTCTGATTCCTTTGAAGATCCTCTTTCATTTCACTCTTCCACTGCTCATTTACCAACTCCTCCTGATAATATTTCTGTTATACCTCATGAATCACATCCCGATCCTTCTACTTCTTCCTCCCACCATCAAGAACCACCTGTTATACATGTTTTTTCCTCTGTCTCTCCTCATCTCAATGCTCATGTTCCTCCTTCTAACACCTTGCTTGTTAGGCATTCTACCAGGATTTCCAACCCTCATTCCTACTTGTCAGATTATGTCTGTTCTTCTGTTCTTTCTGCTAACCCTGTCTCTATAAATTCCAAGGTTTCCACTACTGAGCTACACCTGCAGGAACCTCAATATTATCAGTAGGCTGCCTCACATCCTGCTTGGCAAGCAGACATGCTAAAAGAGTTCCAAGCTCTTGAAGCTAACCACACTTGGGATATTGCTCCTCTCCCCGCTCACAAAAAATTCATTCCTTGTAAGTGGGTGTACAAGATTAAACATAAATCTGATCACTGTTGAAAGATACAAAGCCAAATTAGTCATAAGGGGTGACACACAAAAGGAAGGGATAGATTATAATGAGACTTTTTCCCCAGTTGTTAAATTCACCACTATCAAGTGCCTACTCTCTCTTGCTGCTAACAAGGGGTGGACTATTTATCAACTAGATGTCAACAATGCTTTTCTTCATGGTGATCTCCATGAAGAAGTTTATATGAAGCTGCCTCCTGGTCTAGTGGTTTCTAGTCATTCTTCCTCCTCTTCTCCACTAGTTTGCAAGCTCAAGAAGTCTCTCTATGGCCTCAAACAGGCCTCCAGACAGTGGTTCTCTGAATTGTCTGAAGCCTTGTGTTTCAGAGGTTATATTTCCAGCAAAAATGATTATTCATTGTTCACAAAGTCCTCTGGTGGCTCCCTGACTGTCTTAGCAGTGCATGTAGCTGATATCTTATTGGCAGGAGATGATATTTCTGAATTGGATGCTCTTAAGGCTTTTCTGGATGCTACTTTCAAAATCAAAAACTTAGGTTGTGTTCACTATTTCTTGGGTTTGGAAGTTCTCCAACAACCCCAAGGTTTCTTGATGAGTCAACACAAATTTACAAATGATCTATTGGAGGAGTTTCACTGTGATCATTTCACTCCTGTCAATAACCCACTTGACCATTCCATCAAACTATCTTGTGATATGGGGGAGCCCATTTCTGATCTTGGCATCTATAGAAGGATTGTGGGCAAGCTCAATTTCTTATGCCACACAAGGCCTGATATTGCATACTCAGTCCAACACTTTAGTCAGTTTCTTCAAGCTCCTCAAGTTCCTCACATGTTGGTTGCTATACATGTTTTGAGGTATCTGATGAATGCTCCTGATTTGGGTATTTTCCTTCCCAAGTCTACTGATCTTTCTCTCCAAGCTTACTCTGACTGGGCCACTTGTGCCCAGACTCGAAGGTCTATCACTGGGTATTACATTACTTTAGGGGGCAGTCCTATCTCTTGGAAAAGCAAGAAACAACCTACTATATCTCTCTCATCTGCTGAGGCAGAGTATAGAGCTCTACACAAAGTGGTTGCTGAGATTTCATGGCTTGTTCGACTGCTGGCTGATCTTGGGTTGGTTATTTCCAGTCATGTTCCTGTGTTTTGCGATAGTCAAGCTGCTTTGCATATAGCCAAGAATCCAGTCTTCCATGAACGTACTAAACACATTGAAGTTGATTGCCACTATGTTCTGGATAGCCTACAATCTGGTCTCATCACTTTACATCATGTTCTTCTTCTGCTCAACTTGCTAACATTCTCACTAAGTCCCTTCCAGGCACCACTCATCATCATTTGCTTGGCAAGCTTGGAGTGTCAACACCCTCAAGCTTGGAATGATAAGTAGTACTGGGCCCAACATGTACAGCTGGCCCATTAGTATATTAGGCCCATTTTATAGCATGGGTGAGGGATTAATCTTGGTAACAGATTCATTTTTACACAGATGATGAAATAAAAATATTCCTCTTCTCCACTCTCATCTCACCCGATCTAGGGTTTTCTTTCTCTTCATTTCTTTCAATTTCTGCAAATAATCAACTTAACAACTGTTGCATCGCAATCTTCATTCTGATTCAAAGAGAATAATTTAAAGCAATATCAAGATGTGAAACAACAATGAAAATAACTACTAGGAGTAGTATATATATCAGCAAATTTACTAAAATCAATCATCAGATGAATTTGAGGTGATGCACTAGTGTAATTCTCTAAGCTAGTATTCAGTAACCCTGTGTAGTAGTAGGCTACATATATATTATGTATACACGATACTCTAGCATATACAGCTTGAGCAGTATTCTCTCCCCAATCATCTAGGGACAAGTAAGCAAGCAATCTTGAGAAATCAAAGGATTTTGACGATCCAAAGTCTCCTTGACAGAGCGATAAAAGAGCAGCCAAGATGAGGAAGGGGAATGCGAGTCCAACGAGAATGTAGGGTTAGGAGTAGCAGTAACCAAATCCAGAACAGAAGGCGCTACTGGTCTGAGCGGCTGAGGGAAATTGAAAGCCAAGTTATCTACTTTGTGTTCATAAATCTTGCCATTTCGATCCAGTTTATAGGTAGAAGTGCCCTGGAACTGGCCTTTGGCTTCCCAGGGGACACGAGGTATACCCGTCAAGTTCCATCGAATCAATATCACATTCTCTGAGGGTTGCCAAATCCTCATTACTTGCAGAGATATCTCTCTGAACAGAATTCTACCATGAAATCTCAATGCCCAAAAGATCAATCTGTACCTCTCAATACCGTTAAACGTGTTCAATGGGTCTACAAATGTGATATCATCCCTGTCAACATGAGCAAAATCATATAATCTAGTTCCTCTTTCTTTTAATCAATACAAAAATGAGCTAAAGTAAGTACCTGTATATGTCGTAATTGAGGTCTTTGGTGAAGATTAAAGGAAGGTCTTCGCGGAGAGTGCGAACAGCTAAACCCAAATTTACGTAGAAATCGTCGTTGTTATGGTCATTATTACGTTCCTTTTGCAAGGAAGGAGGAGCTCTGTTGACCTGGACAACCCTAGCAGACGCAGAAAGGAGTGGGATGTCGAGGAGGAGCTCGGAGGAAGAGGCGGAGGAGAGCGGAGACAGGTGGTGGTGGTGGTGGACTACGGGGAGTTTGTCTTTGGAATGGAGCAGATTAGTAGACAGATTTGGCAAAGTATAGGCCATATTTGCAAATAATAAAATGGCTATGAGTTTCAGCTTCAATGGCGGGGATAGGGGTCTCTCTCTTTCTTTCTTTGTGTGTGTGTGTGTGTCTGAGGGGGAGCCAAGTGTTTAATGGATGTTTGAATGGAGATGCCGTTTCTTCTTTTTCTCCTTTTTGAAACTAAACTAAGGCCATATAGTTTTTTTGACCTTTTTTTTTCCTAGTTTTTGACTTCCCCTCCCTAAATAATAGTCTCCCCTTGACCTTTACACCTTGTTTGGATGGTCGTTAATTATTGTATTATACCGTATTGTTACTTTAAATATGATATTTGTTTTGATTGTTAATTAGATTTTATTATATCGTATCGTTAAATGTTCATAACGACGAAATGTTCCACTTTATGTAACGACCGATTTGATGTGGTCACGTCGTTACCTTGTCTTTTTCTCTCGATCTCACCCTTGGTTATTATTAAATAATTTTATTTTATCATTTACCCTACCTTTTTATATATCGTGTCATAATTTTTTTTTATAATATTGCAAGTTTATTATTCATATTGCTGGTGTGTGATATCATAAAACGGCGACAAACGACACAATCTATCCAAACATTGTATTCATCAAATAATACAGTACAGTACAATACAATATAATACGATACATTATTAAACGATACGTAACAACCATCCAAACATGCTTAGAAGTCTTTACAAAACCAAACAAAAGGTACAAAATATCAGAAAATATGAGATTCCCTAGCGTTTGGACATAGATTTAGTTGGAACTTGAAAATGAGTTCTTGAAGTTGTATTGAAAAATAATTTTTGGAAGTTGAAATTGTGTTTGCACACGTATTTTATTGGAAAAAACTTGAAGTTCTGTGAGTAGAAGAAAACAAATTACCCAAAAATTGCCCCAAACCAGATTTTAAAAACTTGAAGAAAAAAAAATATTCCATGAAAAAACAGCATTTTCAAAAAAAAAACATTAAAAAAAAATGTTACCAAAAAGTACTCAAAAATTCCTAGAGAAAGAATATTCATAAACCTCAACTCTAGTATAATAAATACAAATGCAAATTCCTTGCTCCTTATTATTTGTGAATTTTGCTGTGGAGGAATTTTATGGAAAGGCATGAAGTAATTATCCTCTCGAAAAATGAAACATGAGATTAGGAAGAATTGACAGCTAGAAAAAAGGCAAAGAAAGCAAAAAAGTATGTTATGAAATAAAAATAATTTAGTAAAATATGAACAAGAACAAGTTATGAAATAAAAGCAATTTAGTAAAGCATGAACAAGAAATAGAGATAGAGAGAAGGAAGAGTATTTTTTCTTCAATTGTGTGTATTTTCCTATCTATTACAAGGCCTTTATATAGGCATGAAAAGTGAAGAAAAATATGTCATTGAATATGTCATTAAGCATAAAAATATGTCATTGAATATGTCATTAAGTATTTAAGAAGATCATGGAGGAAGAGTAGACATCCACCATAATTTAATTTTTCTTATAATACTCCCCCTTGGATGTCCATAGATAATGTGCCTCAATAAAACCTTATTAGGAAAAAACCCTATGAAAAAAAATCCTAGTGAAGGAAAAAGAGTACACATGTTTAGAAATACGCCTTTTGGTTGCCTCGTTAAAAACCTTGCAAGGAAAACCCAGTGGGACAAAACCTTGTGAGGGAATAAGAGTACAACACATATTAACTTCCCCTGATGAGAGCATCAATTCACATCCTTGAGCTTTCGCATCTCAATCTTGTACACTAGTTTCTTGAAGGTTGACGTCGGTAGAGATTTGGTGAACAAATCAGCCATATTATCGCTTGAACGGATCTGTTGCACATTGATATCACCATTCTTTTGAAGAGCATGCGTTAAAAATAACTCCGGTAAAATTTTCTTTGTCCTATCCCCTTTTATAAATCCTCCCTTCAATTGGGCTATGCATGTTGCATTGTCTTCATACAAAATTGTGGGTAGTTTGTCACACTTCAAACCACATTTGTCTCGAATAAGGTGTATTATAGACCTCAACCATACACATTCTCGACTTGCTTCATGAATATCAATTATCTCAACATGATTAGATGACGTAGCCACGATTGATTGCTTAGTCGATCGCCAAGATATGGCAGTGCCGCCATATGTAAACACATAACATGTTTGAGATCGAGCCTTGTGTGGGTTAGATAAATACCCAGCATCGGCATAACCAACAAGATCGGGACTGCAATCATTGCCATAAAATAATTTCATATCGGTAGTCCCTTTTAGATACCGCAATATGTGTTTGATTATATTCTAATGTCTCCTTGTAGGAGCAGAGCTATATCTTGTTAAGACATTAACTGAAAAAGTTATGTCAAACCTTGTAATGTTAGAAAGATATATTAGTGCACCAATTGCACTAAGATATGGTACTTCGGGACCAAGAAGCTCTTCATTATTTTCATGAGGTAGGAATGGATGTGCTTTATCCATATAGAATCGCTTTAAAATCTTTTTAGTGTATGCTGATTGATGAACAAAAATTTTATCTTTCATATACTCAATTTGTAGACCAAGACAAAAATTTGTCTTTCCAAGATCTTTCATCTCAAATTCTTTCTTTAAATAGTCTACTGCTTTAGGAAGCTCTACTGCTTTATGAAGCTCCCTAGGAGTTCCAATGATATTTAAATCATCAACATACACGGTGATTATAACAAATTTAGATCCAGATCTTTTTATAAAGACACAAGGACAAATTGAATCATTCTTGTAGCCTTCTTGCAACAGGTACTCACTCAGGCGATTATACCACATGCGCCCTGATTATTTCAATCCGTATAAGGATTTTTGAAGCTTTATTTAATAAATTTCTTGGAAACCTTAATATGCTTCAGAACAATTTAAATCCTTCAATGATTTCCATTATACGCATATCACGTTTTTCTTGTATTGCCAGATTAAAACCTGAAATGGCGACATCCACCACAGGAGAACATGTCTCTATATAATCAATGCCAGGATATTTGCAAATCTTCTTGTGACACAAGTCGTCTTTATGTCTATCGACTTGACCTTTTTTCGCACAAGAACATATTTATACCTCCACTGCCTTTATACTTTCAGGTATTGCTACTATCCGTCCAACTTCATATTTTTCAGGTGAAATTAATTTTCATTGCATATTTTTCATTTGGCCAAACTGTCCAAATTTCATGACAGATTTGAGCTCAAGATCCTCATCAATATTAATAATATTGAGCGCAACATTATATTAACAATATCGTCGACGATCATTTTATATCGGCTCTACTATTACCCAATAAAGACATAACTTATTGAGATCTTTTTATCTTATTATTTTTAGGTACCTGAGCCTCTCCCATGAGGTCTTATGAAGTATTATGTCGTGGTGCTCTTTTAGAGCACTTGACTCCATATTATGACCATCTTGAATATTTGTTCCTCTCCTTCTTCAAGGAGTTTTATCTTTGGAATCGATTAGTCTATTATGCTTTATGCATGCCATAGACTCTATTCATTATGAACTTTATTTTATTTGGAGCATTAGCAAGCTGAATATGACATTTAGCTTTGGGTCAGCAAATACGCCTGGCAATATTTTGCAAATGAATTATCACTTGAACGTCAAGTTCACATTTTCTCGTACGAGGATCTAGATGTACTCATAATAATTCATTACATGCATTACTTTTTCAGCTGCCCATTTTCTTCCCTATTCTTGGGATCACCAACATATATCCCTAGCCTTATTTGGGAATCTATCTTTGTGCATTGTGGTGGAATAATTAAATCAAATAGCACATTCATATTTCTAGATGGAAATTATTCATTTCCTGACCCTGAACCGATTGTGATAGGAAGAATTTATCATAACTTGGCTAGATGCGTACAAGTACTGTTGTATATTAAATAATACATCACATACCAAATTTTATTTTGGCAGTTTTGTTCTCATAACCAATGGTTTAGATATAATTGGAGGCATACAATTTCTGCTAAACCAACTTGGATTTAAACCAATATTATCAAGATAAAGCATTATAGTTTATATTCTAGAACTGTGCTCTAATAATTTGAGCAATCAATCTTGCAAAAGCCAAACTGCAAGTTGATAACAAATGCACATGTTACCATGGAATAGATGCATCTATTAAAATCATATAATAATAAACGGTCCACATGGAAGATGACTGGGCCCATATATTTATCACCTTTTATTCGTTCGAGAAATCAAGGGATTCAATCACAACCTTAACTGGTATATCATGAGAATAAGCAGCACAATTGTTGAAGAATCTTATATTTCTTCAATATATGCCAATGTAATTTTCAATTAATTTTTCGCATCATAATTGAACCGAGATGGTCAACCGGTCATGCCAACTAATATTTATTTCAGTAAACCTCTAGTTTACTTGTGGCTTGTAATTGCATCATCATGCTTATACTTGTGTAGTACAAATAGAAGAAAAGTCACGTAACCTTTCATATTTACCCGGTATGATTATAGTAATATAAAGATATTCAATCTTCTTTTCATTTATAGTCTCAATATGCCAACCACTTTGGCCAATATATTTGTAAATCAAAATATTTCTTTTGAGACTTACTACAATATTAATGTCATAAACAATTTGATTCATCCTGGTAGTAACAAATTAGTTCTTTCAGAGCTCTTAACTGCTTTTGTACTACAAGATCTTTTGTCACACCATCCATATAATGAATGTCACCTTCACAAAGAGAATTGTATCATAATAATTGTCATGTTCAAAATCATCATAAGCAAAATAATTTCTTGCTTTAATTTTGCTTTTAATAACTTTCATAAGGCATGACAAAATATTTTTGGCGTATCACATGTATGCGACCAATGATATATTCATGTAACTACGCAGTAATATTCATTATCTTTATTTGTCTCAAACCTCCCTTAGAGGTGAGTTGTGGTATGTATCCAATCATGCATTGCACGTCTTTATTCATTACTTTTATTATATACTGCTACATTCACCTTCAGGAATGAGTCTGCATTCTCAATGCTTATCACAAGTCACATTCTCTTTTAAAAAATAGAGTATAATTATTGTGATATGCTTTATAAATTTTCCATACCATTTTGATGGTAAATGTTTCCTTCAC